AATTTATACACATACATAAGTACACTTTTCAAAAATAATGTGTACAACCACTGGGCAACTAATAGCATGAGGTATAATTTGCTATGTGCAAACGAAGGAACAGAACTACCGAAAAACTTCCGGAACTGACTAATTTTCACTCATTGGAAAGTATTTCAATTCAACAACTTGTATTTCGGGAACTTTGTCCAATGCTGTATTTTTGATTTGATATTCAGGCTTATAATTAGACTGAAGCTTACATCATGGGGAATACTAATTCACTGGTGTAGGAAGAATCTCTTAATGAGGATAGATAGATTATTTCATGAATCCAGTAGATTATTTCATGAATCCAGTGACCTTTATTGCCCAGACTGCAAAAAGTTCCCATCAGTTTCATCTGGTTAAAAAAATTTGGGAACTAAACCTAAAAATTCCAACAGCTTTATGAACATAGTTTTACTTGATTGATTTAATAATTTTTGACCTCTAAATTTACATCTTAGTTAACTGATGAAATTTCGTCTCCCAAAGTATTTAATAAAATGAACAGGTCATTTAAAAGTAGGAAATTTAGCTTGAAAGCTAGCTTTGAAGATTAGAAATTGAAATACTTGTTGTACTAATCATCTTGCAAACGTTAACTGATACCATAAATTACAGTACTGCTTGCAATCAGCGAATCTATTCAATACATTATGATTGACAAAATGATAAAAAATTAATAATAAAATGATATCTCTGATAATAACTTAGTACCTGTAAGCGATACTACAAGATCATTAACTGAAAATTTGTTGGAAGCGAATGTCTCAGTTTAATTCGGACGAAAGTTAATTGCTAATAAATTCACAAAGTTCGAGGACTAATGGACCTTCAATCACACAGCCGCTACAATGATGTCACAATCAGTCTGTGGAACAAGATGAGATACTAAATACAATCACCGAAACCTATTTAACCCTAACCTATTTATGTACTACTGAAGGTCATGCATGAATACGCTTTACACTTTATAAATGCGAAGCTTCCGCATCATCTTCAGAGAAGTGGAAGTATTCCGGAATTCCGGAATTTCATTCTGCATTATTTTAAAGCAATATGAGAAATGTCTTTTAGATAAACATGGTTCTGTAATTACAATGCAGTAGCTTATTATAACTCCAGTAATTATCAGTATTTTCCGGAATTCACATCATTATGTGGTTCATAATTTAGATAATTGGTTGCACATCCAAATTATCCGTCAGTTGCATGTAACCATCCGTCCGTGATCGTTTCCGGATACTTTCATAACTATCCTCATCATCAAAATGTCCTTGTAGAAGTTTTGCTATTGTTGGCATTTTACGGTTGCATGGTCTTGGCCTAAGAGAAGTGTCGAAGGGTAACGTGAGTGATAACTGGTCGCTAATACGTTTCACATTTTCCGGTAATTTTATCATTGTTGAAGGGTGGATTGATTGCATTTTAGTATGTTCCATTTCTTCGAAAAACTCATCCAGATCTCCGCTTAGATCAGGTAACGGTCCTTTGATGCTTCGCTCCAAACATAGTTCCGGTAAAGTTTCCAGTTCACTACTTTCATCATCATTACCTGAAAAATTACAAAGACTCTCGCCACGTTACAAAGCTAATTTAAGTATTGAATATTTTTCCTGAGTCAGGCTTTCAGTTTTTCTAATAACAATTCAATCTGATAAATCTAATTCATGATTCCTTGCAAAAAAAATCATAGGGCTGCCAAAAGAGACTGCTATGAAGATTCGTTTAAAAAACAATCGCAAATAACAAAAGGTGCAAATTTTACGCTTTCCTTCCAAAAAGTGACCATAAAGACAACAAACCAAAACTCAAATCAATAATCTTTGGTCCATTCGTATTTAAATGTTTGAAATTTTCTCCCTGAAACGATAGAATGATAAGGTATCATCATCATATGGAATAACTTCGTTATTTAGTTTCCTTTTTTTTTCCTCAAGCAAGAATCAATGAATCTAAAGAAAATTGTTAGACAAACCATGTGGTTGAAATGGATTGAATGTAAAAATTCGCTTTGTACAAATGATTAATGTCTAAATTCTAAAAGTAAATAAAGTTTTTTTCCGAATGATTTTATAATTTTCCAATATTTTTCACTTTTTGATAAAATTTTCGATTATTTCCAATCGTTCAATAAAAAGTACATTTGTTAACGTTACAGATGATATTATTGGGAGATGGAAATGAGGACAAATAACTAACAAATTGATTAAATTCACTGTTATCACTGGGTAATGATTCCTTTTTGATGGTCAACAATGAGACAAATGTCGGTGGAGCATATTGCTTTGACACATGCTCCTCTTTAGCATTGCTATCTTCATAAACTTCCGACATACGATCAAAAAATGGTAGCATTAATTCATTCCGGATTCCATAAATCCATAAATTACCATGCAATGAAAGTGCTTCTGTTTCACTAAAAAACGTTAGGCATTTAAAGGATCTCTCAATCTCTAGTGAACTATAAAAAATCAAACTGGACTAATTCATTGGAAGTCAAATTTATGAAATCAAGCAATCGCAAAGAACTAGAAGTTGATCAATAATGCATATTTCATCACTGTGTACCATCACAACGATCATCATTAAAATGAGAAATCATAGCGCATCTTAGATACAAATTAAATTTCATTTCCATAATTACAACTATTCAAATGGAATACAACTTATACAACTTTTGTCGCGCAAATTAAAAAAGAATTGATTTATGACATAGCTTAACGAAAGATAAATTATATGTTAAGATCATTCGGCATTCCTTATGTTTTGAAGTGACAAGTACCATTTGACTACGGTATACTTAAATAATTTGCTTACTTCAAAACTTGATAAGTAATACAAATGAGATGTCGCATTCGTTTTCCATGCTCTGATTGATACCATAAATTATTCTTTACGGTAAACACAGTATGCAACCAAAGCCACGAACCATCTTTTGTTTGTAAGCGCAATAAGCACATTACCGCACCATCTTTACGCTGACATACTCAAATATACAGATATTGATATACTGTAAGAAATTTCGAAATTCAAATTTAGTTTTCAAGTTTTTAGCTAGAGAACTCTAACTTAAAATAATGCTTACAGATTCGATGTTTATAAGCAACTTCAAGTAAATGATCGAGATGCAAAAATTGATACCACGATTTGTCAACCAATTCTTCATTTTTGTAACCCAAATAGTGTGCAGTCCTGAATCATCGTATTATTTATTACGAATTCTCGGAATTCGGCAAAATTTTGTGAGGGATGTTTTAATCAAATTAGTTGAAATGATATGTTTCCACCAGTGTGAAGTAGTATTCGATATACAGTTGCCCCTGAGAATTACCAGAAGGGAACCATTTTCGTAAACGAGAAAATTTCCTTCTTTATAGACTAGAAAAACAAGAATTTCGAAGCCAAAAATTTGAAAAATAAAACACACATATGATCAACATGCACAAATTTTAAGTCCATTGAATGCACGGTGCTAAAGATTGATGTATTTCCGGCAGATAACGTCTCGACATTTTCCGGATTGATAAGCATCTCACAGTATGCAGCAAACAATGGCTGGATATGTGATAACGGTGCCGATAATGACTGGTGTGTATTGTAATAATCACTAGCATGCAGATAACGACCTGCCATCATAGTGTACTGTAAGATTTAAATTATGTCATTTCTAAGGTTGATTCGATTGAATTCAAGTTTACACTTGAATAGAAGATTAGATCTGATTATGCTAGCTTTTTGAACTGACTTTCCTGGTTTAGGTTAATAACATTTTTCAAAGCAAAAATTAAATATTAATAGAATGATTTCTTGTAATCTGTCATTTTTTATTTTTGATAAATCAAGCTAAAAGCACCTTGTGATACTGAACCTGTCTTTTTGTGGTACGTGATAGATTCATGCGACAAATGAAAACTTTTTCACCGGAAAAAAAATTTTGATCTGAAACTGATGGTGGACCAGACATGAGTTCTGCTTGTATACGGCCATGATCACGATGATCGACCAGGTCGTATACCGAATCACCTTGGCACATTATTTCTGCCTTAAATTTAGATAAGTGAAGAAACAGTTCTAAAATTTCTGCACTACTGATCTCCTCGGGTGTGTCACCTTAATGTCAATTATCACTAATCATTCATAAATTCAAATCCGCTCTCATCCAACTTCATTGTGCGGAAATACAAATAATTTAAATCAAAGAAAGTTAAAATTATGATAAAACTACCACGGAATGACCAAGATAGTCGCTTGCATTATCAGATATGTAAACAATTTTGCCATATTTTGTCATCATTAGTAAGAAGCCTCGTAAAACTCGAAAACTTTCTGATTGCTTTAAGGCTGGCCTGAATGATGCTTGTATACCCATTCCGATCACTGAAATGAAAAATTGAAATTGATAGTAATAAGTTAATTTTGCAGTTGAAATTAACCTGAAAAGAAGAATCACTCAGATGAGACAGAAAAGTATTCTTTCGATCTGATTTAAGCTAATATTTCGGGAAGTATTCATATCTTTTATTTCAGATTCTTAGTTGACATACCTTTTCAAACCTTTAAGTGAACAAAAGGCACGACATTTTTGCAGAAATATTAACATAAATGATTCTATACAATCAAATACAAAGAAGGAAAGTACAAACCATACGGTAGATAATTTTGTTTCCTGATATAGATGCAGGCAAGTGACATTACTTGTAGTTGAAAGAGTCGTTTCTTCATCGAATCCGTTAACGGAAGAAGATCACGCAGTTTTTGAATTTCCAAATTGATTTGATCACGGCGATATTTGGATGCACCACGAGTTGACCTGCATGATAACTACTTGCTTTTATTTCGGTAAATCTTATGATTTTCGTCAAACCTGTTTCGACATCTTAGCTAACAACAATGAAGTAAGTCATATTAGGAACATTACCTTTTTTAATAAATGGCTATACTCATGCAATTAATTCAATATACGAGGTAAGGTCCGATACATCCATTATTTCATAACGATATAATTCTGGTCTCAAGTTGTCTTGGCTTAATTTGCGGCAATTAACTTGTAGTATGGAACGAGTTTCAACGAAGGGATCAATTTCAGGACATTCCTTCAATTCTTCATCTATGCAAGATATGCTCCATTTCAATTTATTAATGATTTATTTGTTTATTTGATCATTTATTACTCTGCCTTCTGTCCTATTCATACTTACCATTCATAAATCTGAAATATATTTATGTATCGCTCAGAATCTCTTTGAAGATTTGGTATTATTTGTCCTTTTTTTTGCTATCTTAAATTAAATTTGAAATTTTGTAAACCCTGAAATGATCCATCAGCACCATCATATGCATGCGCTGATGTCACAAATATGGAGCAACAACTAAAGTGTAATGTTTGTTTTGTTGTAAGTAGGAGGTGCAAATGTTAAAATGTGATCAATTTTCGGTGTGACAAAATTATTTCGAACTGTAGTATGGAAAAAGTAAACAAAATTATCGGATGAGTAATTGCTCTGCATTCTGTTCTTCTAATCAAACAGACATATACTATTGAATGGGAAATGTACGTGGAAATTAATTGATCAGCAGCAAAATTTGTTATTAATGAGTTAATTGAATTTGAAACTTATGAGTTATCATTCAATCTTAGTGATACCATTTAACTGGAGTGAGGTGAGGTGAGATAGTTCAAAATCCCATGAAATGAGAGATTTTCTTCGATTTCATCTTATAGGTCAGACTAGGAAATAAGTTGGAGAGGGTAGGGTTAAGCGAGACAGTTAAAGCTGGAATTTTTGAATATGAAGAAGTTTTCTCATTAGATGGATATAATTAGCCATGAGTTACTCTAATCGATGAGTTAAGTTAGGGCATTACTTTAACAAAATGCCAAAGTAAGTACAATAATGAATTTATCTGAAAGTAATTTGGCTGATTTTTAATTCAAATGCTCATTTTATCATTAATTTAAAATTTTCCAGTAATAGCATTTCATCACACAGGCGATAGACATAATAAGTTGATGTAATCTGAAGATTTCAGTGAAATTGGTTACTAACCAAATCTCATATGGTATTCCGGAAATTCATTCCGGCATAACATGCATTGATACTGTTTTCCCAGATATTCAAGTTTGCAGTTTCGAGGGTAAGGATATCGATAATTGCATGTTTCTTTTGAATTTAGCAGTTGGTTTCATCCTTTGTAATGCTTCCATTACATAATTATGGTAAATTTAAAGTTAGACCTATTAAATGTGCATGAGCTTCATTATCAAAACGCAATTCAGGAATGATAGTGTGCTAATCTTGCACTTCGCTTTTCTTCCGGATCATGCTTTACTTCCAGAATCGTCTACAGAAAGAACTCCAGAATCTTAATTATATTGAATGGCATTACATCTTAATTAAACCCATTGAATTTGAGAATTTCCAATTAAAATTGTCAACTTTTATGAAAAAGAGACATTGCGCTAACCTGTTATTGCTTGGTGACTGACGTTGTATTTGGCTCATATGAAGAAGTTATGTTACTGGTAGTGATTCGTAGTACGGAACTGATGACAATCTAGGTAATAAGCACAAGACACGAGTTGACTGTCACCTGGTCCTCAAGCTTCAGTACCGATGCTTTAGTGTCGTGACCCGACCTGATCGCCTCTTCAAACCCTGATCTGTCCACTACTTCCTTCTCTTTCCTTCCTAACCGGGATGTGACGTCATAATGGTCAATACAATAAACACAGGGGGTGAGTCCATTGAGGAAGAGGAACTGCCTAATGGTCGTTACTACTTGCGCGTCTGTCTATTAATTCCTTCTTGTTGTGTAACTATCCATACACACTTTTCTATACTAACCATATCCTCTTTATATTTGTGTTTTCCAAAGTAAACTAAGACCACAGGAAACTTACCAATAAAACCGGTCAAATATACACGAAATTTCGATAAGTAAACAAAAATTTGCACAAAGTACGGCGGACTTAACTAAACTAAACTAATTTTCGAGAACCAACCAATCAATTACTTCCCATACATTCTTGTATGTCCAACATTAAGGGAATGAATCCCGAAAAGAAAAAATCTGGAAATTTTTAATTCCTTTTTTTGAAAAAGTAGGCTGAGCTACTAATTTTCCATGCTATACTAATCAAAAAACTGAAGAGTAAAATTCATTGCGAGATTTGTTATAAAATACTTTTAACTTTTCACAATAAACTCCCTATTGGTAGGTTCTCCGGGAAAATAACTGCTAACAATATTTCAGTAGGAACGATAATTGAACTGGAATGAGCTATATGACAGTCAGTCCAAATTGGTGATCTTGGCTTTGATAATCTGTCCGGTCATTGGCCAATGACTACTGACGGAATCCACTCCGGGATTAGGTTGTTCCTTTGATAATAAATTGCAACTCATCTAATTAGTAGCTCCCTAATTGGTTTTGAGTTTGCTACCCTGTCATTAAACCATCTTAATTTCTATTTTCATAAAATTTTTTCAATAACATCACTTCGACTCTCATCAATTTTAAATGATTGAAAACCTGGATTTCAACCTAAAATGACCGAATCCTTCTCAAACCATGACTAATCCACCCAGTCCAATCAAACTTGTTTCACTGTCACTAACGAGCGATTTCTGGCAATTTAGCATTCAACCCGTTTGTTTGAGCGATAAATTGGAAACCCCGTCTAGGCGGTTAGTGTTAATCAAGCCCTGCTACTAGCGGGGATGCTGGGATATTTCAAAGGGATAAGGCATGTGTTTCGGGTAATTCTATGTTTTGCAGCGGAAAAAAAAGGAAAATATGGGAACAACAAAGAGGTGAACGATCAATTCGAATTTATTACTTAAAAATGCGGCAGTTGGTACATCTTTACACTGCACGATGGCTTCTTGGTGGCTCAATAGTTCGTTTTCTCAGACTGTCATCTAAATGTTATGCCAAACAGAAACGGAGAAAATTTATCGATCCTGTTGTGGTGGGTAAAACACCAAGTAAGAAGAAGATTGCCGAAATTTATGACGACATGAAAGTGGGGTAAGTTGCACAGAAGTAAAGTATGATACTATGAATATATTCATGTTGTTTGTGAACCTATCGTAGACATGATCAGTGGAATACTAGGAGAGAACCTTCTCATGCATGTAATGAATATAAAGGAATAAACTTGGCTTCTTGATAAGCGTATTTGTCAAACATCATCTTTCAATACTTGAATTATTTCAACTCGTAAATTTCATTTCACTTTCCTAGTTTTCAGTTCATATTATGTCGGATTGAGATAGTACGCTCCTATTCTGTAATTTTTATTTTTCAGAGAATTGGCCAAAGTATTAGGAAGTTCTGAGGAAGAAATTTTACAAGTGCTCAAAAATTTGCACAAATTACCCAGGAGCAACAGCGAAAGTATCTTACGTCTGCATGATCCATGGATAATTAATCACACTGTTTTTGACTTTGTAGTTCTTTCCAAAAATAATATTGCAACTTTCCTTTTTATGAATATTTATTTCGACCAGATATTGTTTGAATCATATTTCTTGTTTCCAGTGCTGGATATGTCTAGTATCACCACTGTAGTTGGAGCTTTTGGCTTGAAACCAAAACTGATACCACGTCCTCGAAATGCTATCAATGATGATTTTGAATTGGATGCCTTTCCGCAGTTGGTTTTAACCTAATTAAGAAGGTCTTTGGGCATTTTGTTCCATTGATTCAATTTTTCACATTACCTGATGGAATTAATTCCAACAGATACTTATATTCTATTTATATTCCCAAGTTCACTTCCAGTTACGATCTTCATAATCTTTATACTCATTTGCTAATGACAAAATGATAAAACTTTGTTGGTTTCTTTTTCCTTTTAGGCCGCCACCTCCGGAAGATGAATTGAAAAAGCGTGCACCTATAATCACCATAATGGGACATGTTGATCATGGGAAGACAACACTCCTTGACTGTCTAAGGCATTCTCAAATTGTGGAAAGCGAATATGGTGGCATCACACAACACATCGGCGCTTTTACGCGTGTGAAAATTTGTTTTTTGTTTTTATTTTTAAATCTTAATAATGTTGCATGCACAACCAGACTAGCCCTTCCTAGATTAATGATTTAAACGTTACGAAATTATTATATATTGTAATCTACAAGCTTTGTATTTTATTTGCATTGCAGTAAAAGATAAAGATTGTGAGATTACATTTCTGGACACGCCTGGACATGCGGCATTCGCCAAGATGCGAGAACGTGGCGCACATTCAACTGATATAGTTGTTCTGGTGGTTGCCGCCGATGACGGAGTAAACGAACAAACGGTACAGTCCATAAAGTACGCTCTTTTAGTTTTACCTGAATGGAGCAAGTTATTCAACGTATTTGAAAATATGGTGGACTTATGCAGTGGAGCTTTTTCTTATACAGATCGTTTGTACTGCCGCTCAAATGCTTTGGAATGTTTTTTTTTTCCACTTAAGATTTAAAATTAAGGCTTAAAGATGATATATTTTCCTTTACTCATTTCTTGAAAATTCATGATACTATAATGAAAGCTTTGTTTAATTTTTCAACTCTTTTACTTTTTTCAGTTATGCGAAACAAGCAGATGTACCGATCGTTGTTGCCATCAATAAAATTGACAAAGCTAATGCTAATCCTGTGAGTGCTTGTGGAGTTCACATTTTTCCCCGATTGATTTGGGAAAAGATCACATTAAGGTTGAAATTTTGTCTACATAAATTTCAAATTTCCAGATCCAAGCTAAGCACTCACTTATGAAACACGGAGTTTTGGTTGATGATCTTGGTGGTGACGTTTTATGTGTTGAAATTTCAGCTCTGCAGGGTAAAAATGTGGATGAACTGAAGGTAGTTACTTCTCAACTTTCTGTTGTTTTAGTGTTTGTTTCATTAACTACTGGAATGTTAGATGAATATCAAGAGGAGATTTCAATGATGAAAATGAAAAATTATCCAGGAAGCAATCTTGCTGCAAGCTGAAGATATGAATTTGCGTTCAACGTGGAATGGATTAGTGGAAGGAATTGTGATTGAATCAAAAATCCAATGTGGTATGTTTTGACTACCCAAGAAGCCTACTGTTCCACTCTACTGAGGATGGCAAACATTATGATGCATAACTGGACTATACTCATGAAAATTCTATATTTGCGAAAACATATAAAACAACTGTTTTATACTACTGGTCACTTAAGATTAGCGATTTAGTAATGGATGGATTTAGATTGCTGATTAATGACTGCCGAACCTCTGCAGTATCCAGTTGGAGCATGACTGAAAGGGCGTTAAATTAAATAGCTGTTGGAAATCAATTCAGTTTTTGGGGATTATAATATGAATATTAATCGGAAAGAATTTAGCTAAAGCACTTGTTTTGTTTTTATCTTTTTAAAATTTCTATCCTTTCTTCATCTTTTCTTTTATAATTCAGGTATTGGTAAAGTTTGTACAATGATTGTTCAGCGTGGAGTTCTTGTGAAAGGCGCCGCACTCGTTGCTGGGACATCTTGGGCTAGGGTTTGTCATCAATTTTACACATAAAGAAGTTCGTTTATATGCTCTCCCTGTTACCTGTTTTTAATTTAGTTTTACATCATGGCTACCAGATCATTCTCGACATAATGACTCAACTGTGAACGATAGACTTTATTGAGAACTACAGAATGTTGTAGGTTCGTGCAATGCATGATGAATTTGGTCGCGAATTAGCGAAAGCTGTCCCAAGTACCCCGGTGGTTGTTGCTGGTTGGCGAGAAAATCTACCTACTCCAGGAGAGCGAGTTCTGCAACTGGAAAATGAACGAAGGGCTCAGGAAGTTACTCGTTACAGAATGAAAAAGGAAATAAATAAAAAAGTGGAAGAAGATTGGGTAAATTATCTTGCACGATTCATTTAACTGTTTCTGTTAAGTTATGATGAAGTCGCAAAAATTTGCCAGAAACAGATATCTTGGTCTGTTCCTCCTGACAGTTTTACTGATTTCAGAAAACAGCAGAACAGCGAATTGAAGAAGAAAGAAAGGAATATTTAGAAAATCGTCGTAAATTATTAGATGCTGGTTTACGGGTTGGTTCTACATTGCGCCTGATTGTCCATAAAGTAAGTTACATAATAATTTATCGGAAATGGAACCAATTCATTGTGATTTTGTAATCCATGATTTTTTATGTAACTATCAAGTCTTCGGGAATTGAAGTGTTCAAAGGATTTAGTTCAGGAGCAGAAGTACCAAAAGGATGTTGGAAATCAAAAACCATGCGTAAGGTTGATGCTGAATACCGATGTTGATGGAACTCTAGAAGCTATTCTAAATGTTTTTGACACCTACAAATCGGAGGAAGTCGAGCTGGACCTTGTGAGATTCGATGTTGGACCCCCCAGTGAGAGCGATGTCAAGTTAGCAAAAGATCTTGGAGGTGTACACTTTTTCACTATGTTCAGATTCATATCCAATATGTTCTCTAAAATTTTTCTGTGTCTGGTCAGGGAGTGGATTCTGCATGTTTAGAGGAAAACTGTGTATAATCTCAATATTGGTTGAAAGAAAACTTTCGCTTAGGTAGTCTTTTATTCATGCAGTAGACTTAAACTAAGTTGATGGGAGTTTGAGTCTCAAGTTTGAGCATAGTTACCTCATTTAAACAAGTCAATAGAGAATGGCTTTACGATTAACATCCTCTACAGCGTTCAGTTATGCCGTAATTGGGTACTGTATTATACTATACTTAATATATATATGTATATATACTTAATATATATACTTAATATATACATATACTTAATCCTGATAATCTTGGAAATTCACATGTGCTTTTTTTGAGTAACTTTGCAATATTTCGTTTTGCAAATATTAGGTATTTGAGTACACTATTTGAGTGCGTTTTGCAGTTCTGCTTTATTGTTTCAATGTTCAAGTGGCACCTGGATTGAAGCGTATTGCTGAACAATTAGGTGTGGAAATTGTTTGCTTCAACGTCATTTATCGTTTGGTAGAAGATTTGAAAATTCGTTTATCGAATTGTCTTCCGGAAGAAGTAACGTTTGAACAAGTCGGCGAAGGACATGTAATCAAAAGTTTTTCGGTGATTGTTGAACGAAAGAGGCAATCGATTGCCGGAATTCTGGTAGATTGGGGTTCTATCAATAAGTAGGTTTTTGTACTTTCGGATTTCGTAATTCAGTCATGAAATCCCAATTTTAATTTCTTCTTTTCTTTGGAGTACTCAAAGATACCTGGTTCACTATGATTTATGTTCAGGCACAATTATTTAGAGTGTTGGATCAAGTGTTTAATTTAAGTTTTCAGTCAAATGAAATCTTCGAATTCGTAGGCTTTTTACGTGAAAAGAACTTGGGGAAAAGTTTTCTTTGTTCTGGATCTCACTTGCTTTTGCAGATCGGATTCGTTACGAGTGCTGAGAGGTGCGACTGTCATCTTTGAAGGATCTATACGTTCGATGCGCATTGGAACTCAGGTAACTTATTCGTTATTGAATTGAACTCGGATGATCAAAGTTGTTTATGAGCAGAACAAGATTGGAATCTTACTGGATATACACAATCTGATGAAATCGTTACTAGCCGAAATATGCTGTTAGGCGATAGTTGGAAAAGTTCTGTAAATTGATTAAATGCACTTCAGGCAGTGAGTTCGGCAAGCAAAAACGAAGAGGTGGGTGTTGCTGTATGGAATGAAAAGATCGTTTTCAAAGAGGACGACATTATTGAAACGTATCGAGAGATGAAGGTAAAAAAGCAAATTAGTTGGAACCCTCCGGGTTTTTAGTTTTACATTGGAAGGATTTGATCTTGTTTGGATTTAAGAAGTAAAAATTATGAGTTGATCGCAAGAAATTGGGTGGTATTTTGTGATACGAGACGTATTTGTAATGTAAATAAATGCTGGGATACCTGATTTCTGTTTAAATGCTGTTTTGAGGATAAATGAACTAGAGATTTCTTTACTAGAAAGGATAATTGTGATAGGTCATAAAACAAAAACAAAAATCACATACTCCGGAGGAATACTTTACGTCGTTGGAATGTATTGAATATATGATTGCTATCTAAAATGCTTAATGCTTCTCATTATTCTGGAAGAACGTACATAAACTTGACAGGTACAGGATTCTTCCATGCGTAATCCGTGCAACTTCTTCACTTCTTTTTACAATTTTCTTACTAATTCTGCACAGACATAACATGTCTTTTACTAATACCACCATAAAGATCAACTTTGATAAACGAGAATCACGAAATATGTAAATACATCAAATTATGTACCATAGGAAAAACTTAATTACAGACAGAGTACTAATAAACATGAAGGCCATGCACACGCTACTAAACAGCAAGAAATAATCAGGCACTAGTATGGTCAGTATGGTCATGAGTTAATGGAATATCCATCTAGGTGCCGACACTAAAATATTTAAATTTCCAACCCTTAACTTCAAGCATCTTACGTTTTAATATATAAAATTTTGGTCAAACTAGGAATAAAACCTGCCAAATACATGCACTGAAACACATTAGGTACACACTTTGTAAGTTAGCCATTACTATATTAAAGGTAGGTAGTTAAAAACATCAAAAGAAAATCCAGTAAACAGCTGAAATTTATCATTCAAGACAAAAGTTGCATCCTGCTCATAAAAATAACAAAGATGCCTATTACCGAATATAACATACAATTTCCGCATCGCTAATTTCACACAGCAAAACGAAATCAGCACGTTTTTGTTAAGAATCGTACGCACAATACGCAATAAAAATAATTTTAAATACTTTCAGAAAACATAAAATCAAAAGATAGAAGAAAAAAACTTGAACCGAAATATATGCGGAACAGTACAAGGCACAAAAAAAATGGTCTCTGTGAAATTAATGATTGCACCACAATTTCTCAGAACATGTAAACAGTATTAAAAAACAACATACAAAATTCACAACAAAAGAAATTTAAGCACTTTATAATTAATGAGTTTTTCGACATTCACTAAACCAGGAAATCAATAAACTGTAATTCAGTATAAGAGCAACGATGATATCAAGATATCAGTGCTCTGATTAAGAATAAATACAATTTTAGCATCCAGACCTACAGCCCTTTTAGAAAGTTCGACATTCTAAAGAGCAATACGTCTTTAAAAAATTTTAGTAAATTACAGAAACGAAGTCTTCCCAGAAATATTCGTGCGTGATCACTGCTTTGTTCCTATTCATTTAATTCTGCTTTGCCATGTTTTGTTGCAGCAAAGCAAGAAGCTGTTGTCCATGCTGCTGGAAAAATTCTGCTGGATCCATGCTACTGGTGATATTATGGAGATTAGCATTACCATTATTGGCATCACAGAACTGCTGAACTGGCGCACTGCAATAAAAAGATATAAGAATTAAGAATGAAAATAAAGATACTGAAAATAATATCATGTTAACAGTTTTGAAATACCTATCCTTGTTCTTAGCACCATGGTTTTTCTTATTCCTACCATTCCACACTATTTTCCTATCAAGTTAAACATACTTAATTTGATATCTGTTAGGTTTGTCTACAGCACACTTTAACGTTATACGCACCCCAAGAGCGAAAGAAAAAAAAAAAGGCGAGAAACCATTGTCGTTGACCGGGAAGACTATTTGGGCTTTCGCTGTGTCGTCCATCTGGATCATGACGATCGTCGTTGTATTCCATACGTTTAAGACTTGTTCGCATTGCTTGATTCAGTAAGCGTAGCATGGTCTCGCGATCACCCGCCGGCAATTCTTGGGAAGTTTCCAGCTATAAAATGAAAAAAAAAACTTAACACTTGCAGGAATAAGTTGAACATAAGAATATGCAAAACATCCCAGATCGAAAAACTAATACAAAACTGCCAAACTGCCACCTGCTCGTAACAGCTCCCAGATCAATCACATAGAACCACTAAAATCACAAGCAGGATTTCAGACCTAGTAAATTTCGAAAGTCTTCAGTAGGGACCGAGCTGATCTTTTCAGCAGTCTTCACTCCTGATCTTGATTATTCATCCAAATTGAAATTTATTAACAAGAATAAAAACATATACTCACTAGTTGACGTGCTTGTAAAACTTTATCCAAACCCGTATTGAACTGCTCTAAACATTCCGCAATATGTTTTGCCATTTCTGAAGTAAAAAAAAAAAAGTTTAAAATAAATGGGTGCATGAAATAATACACCAAAGAAAAACATAAGCAACAATCACCAAATTTATCTATTATTAAAAGAATCACTGAAGAAGAGATAATGCCTTTGTCAGATAAACTTCAGTCATAATTTGGTAAATATTAACAAAAGCAAGCCTAAATAAAATCGAAAGTCTGAAGATTCATTTTGTCATCATAACTAATGGTTAAATATAAATCTAATGCTAAATATAAATATAAACCCTAAATACAAGTTATATTAAGTTAAATAAATATAAATCTAATGCTAAGCTAGACATAAGTTAAATACAAATCTAATGCTCTTATCTTTGATACCCAAACCCAAAATTCGAAAATCGACCTTGAAGAGGTGAACTAGTATAGTAAAAAGAAATAAATTACCATCCACCAGTTGTTTCTGTGTTTTTGAATACATCATGGAAGGGTAATAATACCATTGATGGTTACTAATAATATTTCTCATACTACTGTTATTGCTGGCTGTAGAAGTGAAGACAAAGGACATATTTCTAGTGTCACTTGAGCGATGCCGTCGATGACAATTTTTCTGTTGTAACGGTTTGTTTAACAATGAATAACATCGACGTCTAATGCCACTACCATCGCCAACATTTCCCCAAAACCAGTTCCCGTCGATTTTTGCGACAGAATCAGATTTTTTATAATCATTCAACTGATGATAATAATGTAATCGCTTGGCCAGTTTTCCACAATCATTATTAGATTCATTAACTGTACCACTGTTCTTGATGACATTTGCTATATCATTGTCAGCACCACCAACGTAATTGTTACTATCATTTCTATTATCACCAGTGTAGCTATGATGTACTACCAAATTAGAAGCATCAGCACAGATATTATATTTGTTACAGTCGATGCCATCATTAACGGAACTTCTATACCGCCGAATTATCGCTTTGCTGCTAACGCTATCACCATTACTATCTGTACAATCATCATTATCATTGCTACTATCAACACCATGACCAACATCGTCCTTAACAGATGATTCCGCAGCTATGTCAATAGTATTCTTAACAGGCGATTCTGCAGCAGCGTCAACAGTAACGATCATACCTCGACGTCTACCGCGAAAATAATCAGATAAAGATTCATAATGACGATGTATCAACTTTTTCCCACATCCTTTCCTGCATAAGTCATGCAGATACCAAGAAGTATCTGTTTTTGTAACATTACGCATCGATTCAATTGCTACTCTTAATGAAGGTCGTGTTCGCACAGGCATGCCAAGATCTGGAACTGACAGATGAACTTGATCCATCTTCTGTTTTTGGTGGAACATATTTTTTTCCCTATTATTATTAAAATGGGATTTGACGGATTTTAATTCTACCGATAAATAATGATGTTGCTTGTTGAGATCAGGTACAGAACGAGAATAATGATGCTGCTGCCACTGGCGTCGGGTCTCTAAAGCACACCGTCGTCTTGCCTCAACTTTTGTCAGCTGTAGCCAAAGGAAAGTGTTGTCGGTTAGCAAAGGAGCACAGACGTTGTAGTAATCGTTACTGTTATCGATAACTTCGGGTGGACTATCCGTAAACGTAACACTACGTCGTTTCATGCCAATTTAAGGTATCCTCTACGTATTTATACACCAAATTCAATCGTTATCCGCAATCAGAGATATAGTATTATTAGTGCTGGTAGCGACAAACATAGTAATAACAGCAGTAATGAAAGAAGTAATGCAACGGATTGTTGATGCTGTCGTAGATGACCGTAGATGACAAATGACCATCGACCATCCACAGACAAGATGGCAAATTCATAAGTTTAAACCTGCGATATGAACTTCGCTGATGAATGCCCTAACCGCAGTTAAAGGTCATTACAATTGCTAATACTACCATTGATATCAATAAAATATTTGTGATCATATCATCTAATGGATTATGACAGTACCAAATATATAGAGAAGCAGACCAATACACAAATTCCACCTCGTCTAACTTTCACCACAACAATCGGTTTTGAAGATTTCGATCTAGGAATTAGAACGGAATAAAATGAAACAAATTATGGTTAAAGTATACAGTAGTTCTGCAATGTCATTACTAATAAATGCTACAAAAATATTTATGCAATATTTGCTAACAGTATTATGAAAACAAGTTTTAGTTTTAAAATCTCAAAATCAAAATCCCTTAAAAAGTCGAATTTTTGAAATTTTATAGATTAGCACGTGCGTGATAAGAAGCAAGTCACATATTTTAAAAACTTAGGATTCGAAATCCTAACGAAGGATTTAATGATCGGCATACAGTAATTTGAAATTTTTTTTAGTGTAAGAAATTCATGCGAAAATTTTTCATTAAAACAAGATAATGAAAGTATAAAACGCTACTATCCATAGTTTTTTTGGATAGGTACTATACTGGATTGAAATTGGCAAATAAACTGACTGCTGTTTATTTTTCGATAAGGACAGAGAAGCAAGGGAGAAGACGGAAAGAAATGTAATGGCTGTCTTCATATTCTCTTCAAGCTTACACAACCTCTCTAATAACATTACTATCACCATTTTACTGTTAATAATATCATCAGCACTATCGGCAAGGCCATTCCCGCATCCCTCAAGTGTCTTCATTTTCAGTGATTGAGGCAATTCGTATATATTATGCATTTTTTTTTCTTTTTAAAAACGTGTACTCATAAAATCAAAAATCTGTAAGTTGTTCTTTTAAAACGAGATATGGAATAGAAAAATAAAAGAAAAAATTGAGCCCATAAATATGCTGAATACCTTAAACAACCACAATCAGATTAAAGAAATTTTTCTATTTTACGATGAGAATTTAATGTTCCTTTCGTAACGAAGGTTTGTGAAAATCCCTCTCTTCCAACTTCTATTAAACACTAAAAGTCTTCATCGAAATTAAGCTCATCTCATTCGAAATATTTCAGAGCTCTTCCAACACACATTATTTTCTGCTGTTTTTAAGTAAAATTAGTATATTTTATCTGAACCTGCAGTTCAGATAACATAACCTGAGTACTCACTCAGTGTTAACATAGAAATATAAAACAATATATTCACAACATAAGAAATTCTATTTCTTTCAAGTAAGCTAAAATCCGAACTAAGAAAATGGTGAAATATTCTTCACCAAACACTAGGAAAAGTTGTCGATCAGATATTCAAAAACTTTAGAGTGCCAGTATTTATGGAGACGATCCAATAAGCTTTCTCAGAACACTGCTTGCATGTCTGAGCATTAAATTCAACTCTTTTTGTAATTTCAGAATCGTAAAGAAAACTAAAGTACAATAATCTGTAGAAATGAACAAATGGTTTTTTGGAACTGGACATTTGGCAGATTAAGATCAAAAAAGATTTTCTTTGGATCTAACAAAATCACTTACGTTTTGACTGGTGAGTTTTAGCAGCAAAATCCTGGAAAGCTACTACTTCACTCGATGATGTTGATTGCTGTGGATATTCTTCGCTACCCACATCTGGTGCCACTATGTCACCGCTGCAGTATATAAAGTATTAGCCAAAAATCGAGATTGAAAGTATGTTAGCGGAATAAAATGAAAATTCAATCTTTTGTTCAGTGAAGTGCAGTATCTCCTGAATCAACATGGTGGGAAAATATAACAAATCCAAGCAGACTTAAAAAAACTAAATAATGATAATAAAAACCTCGCAAGTTTTTGAGCCAAATAACTTGGAACTCGACGTTGGACACTTGAAGAACTGTGTCGTTGTTGTGGTTCGAAAATACGGCGCGTTTGAAGAACGCTTTGCCTTGGCATACTTTCAACACATGATATACTCCTGGAATAGATAATAACTTGCTTTCCACCTAGATATTACAGAAAGAAACTGAAATGAAAATTATCCACAAATCAAACTCGAATTTCAAACCTGCTTGTGCCATTAATGGTTGTAAAGTATCGCCTTGGGGCGAACTGTTGTCCGAGAGTCCCACCGGCCTGCAGCAGTGGTGACCCGTTAATTTCTGAACTATTACTATCACTTTCACCACTCGTCGTATCTCGAGATACCCGATTTCGTGGTTGATATCTTTCAACCTGACAAAAAAGTGCTATAGCTTTGTTCCTAAATTATTACTATCATGACCTTTTTCTTTGTAATTGGTTTACCTCAGTATCAAGGATATTGTTTAGATATTAAACCGAGCAAGAAAAAAGCAAAAACTAACTCTTTTCTGTACTGCTCCTTTACCCTTTTGATTGCGTGTTGAAAAAGCTAACGGAAACAAATGCTCCCGTTCATTTTCCGCCTCAAGTAAAACTTCACTTGTTTCAGCAATTTCAAACTTCGAAAGATCTGGGTTGCTATAAAGAAAGGAGTTTCGAATAGAATCTCATAAACTGATTTAGAGCACCATTTTTTCTAGCTCACTTTTAAAAATACCTAATTCTTGCTACAGATATATCCTTCCCGGTCCACTGATTAAAATGATTTCTGGTCAATGAGAAAAGCCAAACTCCCTAGTGAATCCATAGAAAATAGCCCCGAGTAGGTGTGGGGTAAAGTAGGAAACTATGAAAAAACTTAGAATTTAATAGTCTAGGTGGTCAGAGAAAGAAATCAAATTTCGCGAACCTCGCTTTTTTCAGATTTTCAATAGTTTTTGCCAAATTCCGTTCAGTTTTTGTGCCCGACGGTATTTCTGCTTGATTCAAAAGATTGCTGCCAGTTAATATATCGTTTCTTTCCGGGGTATTATATAAATTACCTACTGATCGAGCAATCAAACGACTTCGGATGTTTAATCCTGACGCACCACTGAAAATTACTGAATCTATTTGCTGCAAAAACAAAACTACAAAAGTAGAAGAAAAAACAGACTAAGCATCGAGATGCGCTTAATCATCCGACAAATTAAAACAAATTTGAAGCCCGCGTCATTTCTCATGCTATGTGCTTTGTATGACAAACTCCTTAAAATATGATGATTAACAGTTGGATGGTCAAATACTAGAATAAGAACTGCACTTACTTCTCAAACATGTTGTTGAATCTTAAAGAGAAAGTGCAAAATTTGAATTTTTTACTTAAGTTCTTCCGCAAACTAAAACCAGGTCATTAAAGTAATTTTAGAACCTTAATATAATTTGTAAGCTTCGACATTTTAAATTCTTTTGTAAAATAGTTAAGACTTAACTCAGACGAATGAAAGAAAACTAAGTAAATTAGATCACGCTCAACTGATTCAACAAAACCTGGTAATCTAGTCCTTACAACTGATCAATCCATGCTTCTATGAAGGCGATTAACCCCTTCAGAAATACGGAAAGAAAATATGAGAAAAATGTTATCGAATACCCCCTCTTTTATCAGATTATCTTTTGCTATTTCAACATCCGTTCGAGGCAAATATTTTGCTGAAGCTGTGGGAAAAACCAGTAAAATGAGAAGAAAACCACTGTAAGGAATATAATAAGGAATAAAATTCTCGTAAGGAATAAAATTTATAAGGAACAAAATTCTGTAAGGAATAAAATGACAGAAGGAAGCTAGCCCAATATTATGTATAAATGCGAGTAACTCATTGATAAGCAATTCCTGCACAATCTCAAAAAGTTCACTGAAAAAATTTTTTTCAATCATTAGAAGCATAAAACGTCCCAGTCAAATAAAAATACCAATGACAACACAGAATACCAATACCATTCCAGAGAACATCCACATTTCATGACAAACCATTTATATTGTTAGGTCACCTAACAGTTACTGGGAGTTACTTCAAAACCTAGTTTTATGATAAGTATCTCTGGTAATAACTTGGAAATTACTTACACAGGAGTAATATCAGCACTTAACCGTGATAGATATGATCTACTAGCATCACTACTGGTACCAAGTAGTAAACCAAGTCCAGGTCGATTTCCATTTAACGGTGCAGCGGCTGTTAACCGAAGATTACCAAATGACTTTGAACGCGACATAATGTTTGGAACTGCTGCGAAACCGTCATCGCTTAGAGGTCCAGCTAAATTCTCCTGAGATTTGCGCAACCTGAACAATAAATGATGCCACATCAAATAAACCAATTTTTCCATTAGTTAATAATAAATAACGTAAATAAAAATGATGGCACATCAAATAAACCAAGTTTTCCATTAGTTAATAATAAATAACGTAAACCTAAAATCACGTGATGACTGGAAATACTATGTTGGCAGAAACTGAATTTGAAGCTTATGCATGAAGGCAGAACAGAGTTTGATGAATAGATCTTCACTGGACTTGGCATTAGATACAAGAATTTTGGATAAAATGACAGGGAATCTCAGCTTAAATTATCCGTTTTGCATCACATGGATTACAAATTTAATAGAATTCGAGCTGATGGTAGAAAAACTTTGATTTTTGTCGGGTTAGAGGTTAGAAGATAAGACGTAGATTAGAAATGACAACAAAAAATTCCCATAACTCCATGTAAGTTGCGATAAGACATCCGGACGACATATTTCCAACACAGCAATTTGGTATATTAAAAAGTTTTAACCACATGAACTACTTTAAAATAAGAATGCTGGCAGATTATTGACAAACAAATTCTACCGGTACTGCATGAAATTCCGCCTGAAGCAGAACTACGAAAATGAAATGTAGTATGCAACAAACTGAGTGAAAAAAATCAAATATTCAGAGCGAGTGGCATATCCTAATTTAAAAAATCAAGACAGCAATACAATATCACCAAACGAGATATGTCCTTATTGATCAAGATAGAAAATAGAAGTTTGTACGCAACTCACTGAATCCCGAAAATTGTTATTAACTTTCTTGCTGTATCAACTGTTTCAATGCACAGCACTAGTAAAAATGTCGAGTTTCTATGTCTAAACTTACATATGATGACGGATCCGTCTTCTTTAAAATCTTATGTTTCACAGAAAATGAAAAGTGTTTTTTTTAAAAAATTGCAAGAAAATGAATCAGAAGACTGGACAAAACTGATTGCTAACATATTTCGAATAAACCAATCCACAAATACTCTACTTATTTCGAGTAAATCAATTAGCAAGTGTCCTTAAAATCATAGGTTATGGGTACTTTTATATATAAAAACACCTGTCACGCAATCCTGCTAATCGATTCAACGTCTGTGATGATTGCTGCTTGTTAAGAGTGACAGCTCGAAGATTCGTCCGTGAAGATGATGGTGTCAAGCGAGTAGAAGCCATCGTTAAAACTGAATATGTCGACATATCGGAATCCTAGAAAGCTGCACAACTTATATAATGCGTCAGCAATATTTCGGTAATTTAAATTTGATATGCAGTACATAAAAGTGAACCAAAAGTTGTCTCATATTTTCATCTAAGCAAATTCTTTACTTGTCGCTGCCGCTTCCCATTTCCTAGAACACTGAGAGCGAGTTGTGAAGGGCTTTGACTTCGACTGCGTAAATGGAGATCTGATGAAGCATAATCTTCTTCTGGAAGTAAACAAATAAACAGTGCGTTTCTGTCTTTAATTTCGAATAAAACTGTCAAATATTTCGAAGAGCTGAGAAACCGAGCATAATCCAATTTTTTGAGCTATCATATCTACAAGTGCTTTCAACTTATTTTCAATGGCCCTCTTATCTTATTAAAAAAAAAAAGGTAGAAAAGGGAAAACAAAATTTCCAAGCTTAATTAATTTAGACGACTTGCGAGCGACAAAAATATGCATTTCAATCCATGGAAGTTTTCAAAAATAAACAAATGTTGGTGGCTGATAATAAACTGGAGAACACTGCGGACATATCTTGATTCCGACTTTTTTCTATCATTTATTTCCCGAAAAATACTCATGTAATAAGTTTAGGCATCATGAAGCAGTCATCCTCACATAAATAAAGAATTGTCATTTTAGACCTGCTGCACCGTTTTAGGAAGACAATTTATCTTAAACAGCTTAAGGATTTAAAAAAAAAGATCCGAAATTTCGTGGTGTTATGAAAAGAAATGCAAACTTTTGAGAAATGCAAAAAAAATTTGCAAAAAAAAAAGTTCATTTTTATCTTCCAATTGGAAAGGTTGCAAATACAGAACTGGAGTACCAAAAATATTATAGCAAAAAAAGAATCCTGTTCAGATTATTCCAAAGATTTCAGTGTGTTGCTATAAATGGACAGCACATTACTTTATCTCTAAAGGAGAAAAAGCCACCCTAAATTCAAAACGTAGATATATCTAAAACATTATCCACAAACAAACAGAAATCTCAATCTGCAAAATGAGTAACAAACACCAATAACCAAAAAAACATGCCAGCAAAATTCCAGCAGTGATTAGCTCTAGCTGTCAGTGTTTTTTGCTATAAATAATCAAAACCTCCTGCAACTGTCATTCGTCGATTTTTGATAACATCATTAATTGCTTGGCAACGAGCCAGTGGACTTAAAGCTCGACCTATGGCTGCAGTACTTAAGTTATTCTTTTCTTGTTGTTGCTGTTGATATAAACGCGACAAAGTGATGTGCAAATCGGATTCTGAAAGCAAAATAAAAGCACAGTGCAAAGACGACAAAATAATATTGTACAGCGAAGGCATCGAAGCGAAGGTATCGATTTATAAAGAAATTTGATAAAAATGCTGCGTAACTTGGTCGGCTAGCACCACACATTTTTCACTTATCTACCCAAATGATTATGATAAGAGGAATTCCCTAAAAGCTAGCGTGAGGCTTGCATAAATGAAACCAGTGCGGATGTTCGAAACTGACAGTAAATCAAAAGCTGTGCATGCGAATTCTCAAAAGTTATCACCAATAATAAAACACATAGGAGGGGAACAAATAACTACGGAAGGTGCTGGTGCTGAAGTGTTATATAAAATTAAAGACAATAACTGCAAGTCCTCATAAAACACAGTCTTTAAAGAGGAATACGAATCAATCACCCAAATTATAATTTAAGAATTAGTAAAATCAAATAAGAAGTACTATCATTCAATATCGGGAAAAATTATTTTTTGGGAAAAATAACTACTAAGACTGGCATCCCACCTTAAACAGTGGATGCAAATTGATCCATTCGTCTGTTAGGTCATACAAAAGATATATTTCAAGCAAAATAAACTTCAGGAAAGGAAACTTGAACTAACTTCGTCGTGTTACTGGGATTGTTCGTCCTGACACTGTAGTGTAATGCATGTTGCTTGCCGATCTCCTGGTACCGATTAAAGGCGGTGTCCACACTGTCTGTGACTGTAAGCATATATGACCTCTCATGTTATGATTTTCAAATATTCTTAAAGCACTATCTTATAAAGTCTTTCAAAATTCATTCTAAATTATATTTAAATATCACACTGCTGAATAATTGGCGAATAAACTTTCAGCGAGCTCTTAAAGTATAGGAGGATAACTTTGTTAAAAGTAATGATTAAAGTAACAAACCTCACTACACCTGATCCCCTTCAGGCGTTTTGTTAAACTACAACGTTTCACGCTAGCCCGACTGAATGCCGAACTAGGCGACTGAGGGGACATAGAGGGTGAAACTAAAACTGGTGTATTGTATGGCTCAGAAGATTCGCTGGCATTCCGGATTGCGTTACTGAATGGAAAAGAAGAAACTTGCTGCTGCAACTCAGCAATCCCTGATGCTGATATGGAATTCGGTATTTCTATAAGAATGAAGTATTATGAAAAATTTTCTTAGCCAAAATTCACATATATACAGAAAACAAAGAGAGGATGTTATTTCACTTAAAAGCTTTGGAGACCGAAAAAACCAGTTCTTTTTCGATCTGCTATACGGAACATGACTTTTGTTTATCCGATAATAAACCCAGAAATAAGACGTAAGGAAAACGCTGCGAAAGAAAATCCATTGAAAATTTGTTAATAATAACAAACTTTTGTTAACATTTCGCTCGGATGAAAGCGGTGAATACTGTATCTGATTACCATTCATGGTCATAAAACCACCTAGCACATTTTCCTTGGATGATGATGGCTCTGTGGATGACGGAAAGACGTGCGTTTCAGTGGATGGCACATCGAATGAATTTGATATCAATGATGAGACATAGACTGGTGTATCTAAACGACCAAATAAGCTAATTTAGGCTACAAAGAAGGTAGCAAAAATGTCCATAATGTCATTACTAGACGGCAATTTTTAAACAGATCTTTGCATAAATCGTGTTTTCCAACAGATCATTCTTATTCTAAAAGTGCAGTAATAAAACTGAGACGGAAAAGTCTGGTATGAAAAATGATCACACTTTGGCACTTTAAGGTCATTTTAACACCTGAACGCCAACATCGTCAGCGATCTCAGATCAAGCATGCAAAGAGTAAACGTACCCCCAATAGGGCTAATTGCCATATCATCCCATTTTTTCCGTGATTTTCGTGTTAAAACACTGTTTCCCGCTACAATGCTTGATGGTCCATAACTATCTGCATTTTCTTCCTTAACAATATCAGTACCATTGCCGGCACCATTATGACATACTAGTGCGGCAGTTGTCCCTGGTAGTTGTGTTAACCGCAAATTTAAAGGTGTATTGCTGCTTGTAGTGCATGCATCCCCTTCTCTTCCAATGGTTGCGCTACCGCCTAATTGCTGCTGGACAAAGTTCAACGCCCCTGAAGATCTGTCTGCGCTTGTTGTTGTCGATAGTAGTGTTTGTTCCTCATCGGAGAAATCTGAAAGAGTGAGTCAAATGACATGGACAGTGGATCACAAAATCTTATAAATATGAACAAATGATCCAAATCGGAAAGAGTACATATGAGGAACTATCAATTTTCAGCGCAAAATGGACAAGAAAAAAAGGCAGATTAAAAAAAAAACAGCTGAACAGTAAAGACGGAGGAATGTAAAAGATGAAAGACCAAAGAAAGGAGAGTAAAAAGGAGAGTAAAAAAGAATTACTGAGAAAAGTTGGGAGTAATTAACACAGCTACTTTTGTTACATCTATTTTTATGTCATAAAATTCATGTTCCCAAGGAAAATTTGTTTATTTTGCTTAACAGTTATGTAAATGTTGGAGTGAAACTATCAACCATTAATTCTGCGAGCAAGTAGCAGTTCTACTTGTACAATTTTAAACTATCCCAGCAATAAATTTATTACGAGAAAAATTGGATTAAATCATAAGGACAATTTTTTCTTTTAATGATAATAAAAGAGCAACATATACTGATGGTTGTCTTCTTCATGGGACAGAATTTGAAACATCGTCTCTTAAAACTATCTATTAAACGCCGAACTCTGAATTAAATCACTGTGAATTACAAATTATAAAACCAAACAGATATTTGATAAAAATAAAGAATCGGAAATAGTTGCAAAGGGAGACAGCAGATATCCGAAACAATTTCAACGCCATTAATATGAATTGAAAAACGGCGAAATCTTTAAGTATATTAATTAGTCGAGAATTCCTTATGCATAATTTCCTTTCCAAAGTTGAATTCAAAAAAAAATCGAATTGAAATTAAAAAAAATAAACGGACAAAATTGAATTTTTTCAAACTATCGGATCAAAATATTTGTAACTAAGATAATTACCATTAGCTGCTGAAACATTATCCCAGCTGGTAAATTGTTCATTCATCATTCCACTTGTGCTACGCCGCACAACTTCTGTTGTCAGCCGCTTCAGTTCAAAATCATCACTACAATTGCCAACTGTAGAAACTTGAAACTAAAAAATTTGATTACCAAAGCTATTTCCAATTCTCCTATGCTAGATTCCTTTCTAAAGTAAACAGTTAAAATAAAACAAAGTATAAAGTGGAAAAGTGTTTAGAGCCTATGTATCACAACTTACTTCAGGAATGCAATTTCAACTGTAAGGACCTCAGCGAAAAAATTTCACTCTATTAGTTGTTTTAAAGAGAAAAGCTCTCCGCCATGAAAAATTTCAAGAAAATCAACAATTATATGTGAAAATCAGTACAACTGAAGAAAATAAATGTAAGATAACGCAAAATCAGATAACGAAATGATGCACAAATTTTTCCTTATAAGGGAAATGAGGGCGTCAGTATGTTGCTGCAGTATATTGCTCGAACCCTTAACTTCGTAACTACAAAATTAAAAAGGGTTCAATGGCCCGCAGTTTCATAGATAAAAATTAACATGAATACAAATATAATAGTCATACATCAGAAATGGTATTCGTGAAGTATATCAAGGAGTCAGTCATATTTCAATAATGGACTTAATCATTATTTCCAGCCGTATTGATTAGCATACTATTAAGTAGGGAACACTTACGAAAGTTACTAAAAGACAGATATAAATGATGAAAATTTTCAGCGCAAATGTGAAAAAAGAACAGTGAACTGTAGCTAATGGGAATCATGGTAGCAGCGACTGGAGAGAAAATAAAACTGAAATCAAAAGACTCTAACGAAAGTTATATAAAAAATTAGAAATCAAAGCACTATAATGATATATATACTTCCCAATTTTTGTAACATGTAAGTCTAATTTTGAATAGAAAAGTGCTAAATAAACTCACTGGTGGGACACAACTGATGCTCAAATACGCAAACGGTGCGATAAATTTCAGCACTTGTTTACCCTCTTTATATCTCGACTATTTCTTAAACTATGTGTACAATGTGTAAAGATATGTCGCATATGCCTGCGTAACTCTTCTAAACTGCCACATTTTTATCTGACACTGTACAGTGGGCAGAGTACATTTTCCAGTCACCAGAATGAAGGTCAAAGATGCGTCAAGCTACAGGACAATTGTAATGAAAAAATTTAAAACAAATGGCTAACATAGTATCATTATTCATCACTTCGAACTCCCCGTTAACAAATTAAAACAGGAGATCACGGCAATTAAAGATGAAACGGAAAAAAGCATACTCTGTAATCATACTACTTGATGGAGTATTGATAATCATTGTTGTTGGCTTCCGCCCCATACAACTATCCGAATCTTCATCGCCAATTCTGATGCTGCTCAGAGAACCAAATTCAGATTCTGAATCTTTCACCTATAAAAATGTTAAATCCTGATTTGTAAATGAGGCAATTCCTCAACTTATTCAAGTTGTTATGACTTTAGCGCAATAATGAAAGCAGTGGGAGGCAAAAACCAATCGTAAGATAAATGTGACTAAGATTTATGAGTTATGTTCTTTGATATAAGAACAATATAAATATTTCTATTCTAAGTATTAAGATTTGTTGATACCCATGTCATCGCCTTCCCAGAATAATAACTCTTCACTATATTATAATGCAAAATAAAATTTGACACTTGAGACAAACTATTCTCTACACGATACATAATTTTGTTAAGTTAGCAAAAGTAATTTAAAAAAAAAAAGAAAAAATCAAGTGAAACCTTCAAGAAAGTCAATTTTTTGCCGAAAATTATCTAAATCTCAAATTAACACCGGGATTGCTACGGTGCAATGTATCGCCTATTGAAGTTATACGATAGTCCGAAAATGCTGAGAACAATTCTCAAAAAAAAAATCAGTTGTTAATTGCTTAACGATTTTTTTCTTTTTGAAATCCAGTTGCTATTTAGTATTGGTTAAACCTAGAAAAAACCAATAAGAAAATTAAACCTTCATATTTCGTATATACTCCATGTGTTCATCACCAGCTGCATCACTGCCACTCCCCAACAAACTATCAGGTGTTTCGGACCTAATAATTATGTGTGTTTGCATAGAAGAATTTGAAAGTTCATTTCTATGCTACATAAAGCAACACTTTTTATAAAGAAAGTATATATGAAGACCTCTGCAGAAGCCTGATGGATTTGTAAACGGCTTAAAAAAAGAAATGGGAAAAAAATACGAATCATATTCTGCAAAAATGCTGCTTACCGTTCACAAGGTTTTTCTATTCCTGCAGTGCTAGTATTCTTGGTGATTTGGGATTTTCGTGCGGCAGTCATCATTTTGCTGACAAGAAAATTGGACAACCGCCATACGAAAATGCAACCGCTGTAGGAAACAACGTATAATCGCCTGCAGTACTTCAAATAAATGAAAACCATAGCAGAACTAATTAATGGAAATCTATGCATCTCTAAAAAACAAAATGTGCTAGGGAAACACACTTTATAAAAATGTTTTTGAAGTTTGAAATTTCTATATTATTGACAAGACAAATCGGTTTTGTAAATACAATATTTTGACATAATTACTGATACTTAACATGATTATTATGAATACTTAAGACCTATCTTGAAACTGAAGCTTTTCGTTAGCTTTCCAACTTCAATAAAAAGGATAAAAATTCTTCTTTTCATAAGATAGCTCCTTTTCCATCAAATTTCCAGTAATCATTGGGAGTGACAAAAAAAAAAAATTCCTTAATATCCCAGAATTTATACCACAGAACGGTGAAATGACATAAATCATTCAATTAATGGATAGATACACCGCTAATGAGCTGAAAATTCAAACTTCATCTCATTTTAAAATTAACCTGCAATCAGCGGAAAAAGCAACATCTGTGATGTTATCCGACTGGCCAGTCAATACGGCAGCAAATTCTCCCGTGGCTACATCAATGATATAAACATTTCGATTTGTACATACTGTTGCGGCATAAATTCCTGATGGATCCAATCGTACCTATATAACTTGCAAGATAAGCAAAAGTGATATTATGGAAATATTTAAGGACTGTTTCTAATTGAGGATGACAGCTGCGCTAAAAAATTTCATATTGCATATACAAATTAGATGAATGAAATTAAATGATCTATTTAGATGAAAAATAACTCTGGTGAGCTGTCCATCATCACTTGCAGCCCCTTTAATCTGTTTCACAAGCTTTCCTTGAAACGAATATGTTCGAAGCTGACGATCCTGGCAAGCGGCAACCATTCCACCAGCACTTAACACGATATAGTTCAAGCCAAACTGAGATTTTATGTGGGTTATACGTGAAAAAGTTACCGAAGATGGCTGCAAAAAAATTTTATGTAGAACTAGGTAGGCTAAAATCAGATAAAGATGAAAATGTTTTCCTCAATAAACACCTGAATGTTCTTGATGGAAAAAAAACGGGTTCGGGACAGTTGTGTAAAAATATTCTAATTATATTCCTATAGAGTAACTAACAGTTTGTATTCTATTTTTTAAATGAATTTTGGTCAAAGTTCACAGTTTTTCTGTTCTAAACAATCTTAAGTTATCAAATTCATTACAAAATTACTTCTGAATCGACCATCTTCCTAATTACGATTGAACGATCAGCAGCAGAACTTATCAACTGCAAACTACCCGCTTCCTATAATATAGCTCTTTAGTTTTCTTGCAAATTAATAAATGTTTTGAAAATAAAAATCAGAACAAGAAAATTTTTGTAGTATTTGAGAAAATTCATCACAAACCTCCACAAATAGTATGGAATTAATAGTACTTGTATGATCATCAATACTTGCTAATGGTTGGTAGCCATTAAGTGGATCGAACAAGTGCACCATGCGATCTCGACTTCCAGTAGCTAGCAGATAACGAGCTGAAACAGTGAATTTATAGAAAGTCGCAAAAGCAGATGCTGCAAAAATATATTGATAAGTATCCAAAAAATAACACAAAAATACCGAAAGCTATCTATTACATGATCAGCATTAAAAATCATGAATCACAAGTTCTTCGTCTTTTGTAATATGTTAATCTAATTTTCTGTAATTTAATATCGAACAGAGAAACCTGCCATTTCGCTCATCTTTCGATAAAGTGCTCCTTGTCTTTTTTTTTTCTTTGTTTTGATATAAGCCATCATTTATTAATAATATTAGCTAACAAACAAACCGAAAGTTTTAATAGCACAAGAAGAAACTACATAAAATTCGGTGAAAAACTGCAGCACAAACTCACGACTCTTTGGGTCAGAATATTCCATACACATAATATCACTTTCATGTGCTTCGAAAAATGCAATCATTTCCATAGTTGGTATAGTTAAATCATAAACACTGAAACAATCTGGTTGAAAAATTAAACCCAAAAAATTGGAGAATTTTTAGGAAAAAATTTTGCAATAATGAGGTCAACAACTTTGTTTTAGGTTTTTCATATTTCGAAAAGTTGAAAACTCACGACAAATTTCCATCTCGACTGCCTGCAGCCAGATGTTTTCCATCAGGACTTACTTTCACAGATTTCACGCCGCTGCCTGTATCAGATATGGATGCTCCAAATACTTCTGAAAAGAGAATGGAAAGATATGAATACATGTTATTTGGAAATTTTCTGATATTACTTACTTCACCTTTATTACTTTTAAACTAAGTACCAAACAAAAAGCGAATGATGTCGCTGATGTAAACTGTATGTATGCTGAACAAGTCGACCCATTTTACTTTAAGTGAAACATACCATCTGGTGATTCGTTAAGCTGAGAATCACTGTTGGTCATAAAAATAACTTTTTTCAAATCCTCCGAGAAAACATTTGCACATGGCAACGAAGTCCTCTTATTCTGCAAAAGATAGGATACAATTTATTTAGTAAACAAAAATTCAAAACTTCATTTTGAAAGTTCTAAATGAAATTTGCTATAGGTTAGACCAAAAAACAAACCTCATCAAATGAACTTGATAGATGATCCACATTCCATATCCGAACAGTTTGATCTGCACCACCCGTTATGATAGAACCATGTGGTAACCATTCAAAATTTGATGGATAAACCTGCAAAACTCATATTCTTTTCTTAAATACATTGAAAAAAGAGCAGACCAAAACAGTCGCTCTATGACTTACCTCTAGTGAAATCACTGGTCCAACATGAAAAAGCTGTGAGGAAATTTTGAGAATACTCCGATTCGTTTGTTGCCATGTATAAATAGACCGATCACTATAAACCACAGTAAGCATTCCAGTCTTTCTATTATATGTTAGTGCTCGTACATCAGGGTATCTGAAAAGCAGACACTAAAATTTAAAACTCGTATCTGAGTCACGAACAATAATATCTGAATGACGTCACTATTCTCAAGAAGCTTATTTCCTTGTTCTAGTGAAAATAATTTCTGCAGTTAATTTTTCTTTTGATCTTCCTCCTTATTAAGATTATCAAGCTTAAATTTTCATATTTAACTGAAAAAGTTGCCGACCTACACCCTGTAGGATGTGAATCAGGCAACAGTGCATCCTGTTTTACACCTTCCGCAACATCGCATGACAAATAGTGTGGTTTACAGAATGTAAATTTATGTTTCATTGTCGTGATATCCAAACATCTTATAAAACCATTGTTGAATCCAATAAACAATTCACCAGTTCCAAGGACTATCGAACGTGGAACTTCACTGTGCAGGTCATAGGTACTCACTAGCTAAAATAAGTTCAGCTACCAAAACAGTTTAATAAAAGCACATAAAATTAAACATTGATGTATGTCTGGGTAAAGATATAATTGTTAAGATATCAAAAGAAAGTTGCGTGTTTAATGGATGAAATTGATAGCTTTCAGTAAAGTTCTAATTCCACATTTTTATTTATTAGTTTACTCGAATACTGAATATAGTGATGGAGTTCTTCCACCATCTGATTCCATATTTGAAAAAATGTAAATTTAGAACTATATTGAAACAACGGTTTATACTGGTGTTATGGACGAACTGAAGGGAAACTGCATACAAAGGAAAAATGGAAGGGAAAGTAAGAAAGCGAAATAGTGCGAAAAAGAAAGAACAAAAAACAATAGCATTAAAACGAATATTCATAAAAATGCTCGACTCCCCCACTAAATTATTACCTTTTTATCATGAAATTCAATCAAAAGGCTAGTTTCTGTGACTGAAAATGTTCGATTACCAGGAGCGCAACAAACATCTAAAAAGGTATTGTTTCGCTGATCGGCCAAAATTGCTGAACGACCCTGTAAATAACTTAGATATAAATTTAAGTTTTAAAGTCTGATTTTAAAATAAGAATATGGTCGGTAGTGATGTGAGCAAGAAACAGCCATGGAAGAGTTCAAGCTCCAGAATTCGGCTTTCACTGAAGAAATAGGTCTTCGTTTCAATAGAAGAGAGTCAAAACCCTACTTGTTACGCAGATTCTCATACCTGTAAAGGTACACTCTTCGTACTCTCTGGTTTCCTTGCAACATACCAAAATTTAACGTGCCTGATTCCTACCGTTACACACCCGCCTTGTTCTGTAATGTCAATTGAATTAACCTGAAAAATTACTTTTAATACCACTCCAGCACTATGTATCCGACTAACCGGGCTGCTTTCAATACTTCAGCTTTGTCAAAATATCAGCAAATAATATTTATAACAAGCTGGTAATACAAACAAATATTTACTTGCATGAAAGTCAGCCTAGTAAGAAGTTTTATAAATGAAATGAACGCAACAAAAAAGGTTAAATCCAGAAAAAACACTTACTTTCGAAGTTAGACGATTTTCAGCAATTTTTTGTTGTGCCTGCCAATCCCAAACTACGATCGACCGATCATGCTGATTTCCTACTGACACTAAGTGCCCGTTAGGAGTGAAACGCTAAAAGTTAATTAATTGTAAGTATATTCCAGACCACACCGTATATTCCAGAAATTCATCTTAATTCAACAATTAAAAATTTTCAAATTATGAATTCAAAAAACCGCAAAATTTGTGGCATGAATTGCCGCTCAAAACTTGCCACGCAGCTGATCCCTAATTGATGGTGTTTTATATCAACAATCTGGGTGAAAGCGAACTGTCCTTTCACGTCATAAAGCTCCCAAACTCGTAATCGAGGCTCATGTCCAGTCTGAAATTCAATTTTCGAAAATTTGATAAGGAATTATTGCTGCAATAATGTTCCAACTTTCATTTCTTGAAAAAGCATTCTTTCGTTTTCCGACTCGAAATCTCATTTCTCCACAAATTCAGTCTCTAGAATACCTCTCCGGTAGCGATGTATCTTCCGCAGAAAGAGAATGATAAGCATGTTATACTGTTTTTCGTTGTACCAATTAAATGGGCTTGGCCGTTATTTCTTGGATTATAAAGAATGACGGTAGCCCTGAATAAGAAACAAAATCACATGCTTAGAACAGTTCTTCAAATATCTTAGGTTCAATTATATATTGTTTCATACTGAGACTTTACCTGCAAAAGTTTCAAATTCCATAAGTATTACTCTAATTTCATTTGATTTTCAACTCGGTTGTAAAAAACTTTTATTAGAAGTCCTCGTCTCAAATTTTTGCGTTTATAATAACGAGAAAAGAAATAGAAAATGCCGCAGAAATGTAAAATTCGCGTACTAGACAGACAAAGGTGATACATTATGATGCTAAGTCGCTGATGACGTTGAATAAGAGATAGTGACTGCGCTATAATTAAGATGCATACCGTAACCTTTTTTTTTACTGATGGAAAGTTCACAAAAGTTTACCCAGCCGGATAGGCTACAATGCCTTTGTTGTCGTCCACCGATACTGACGACCGTGAAACAGCTGTGCAACCTAATACCCGTTCCAATTTCGCCTGAAAAAAGGCGACAAGATGCATGCAGGTATTCCAGATTTAATACAGAAGAATTACTGTATTCCATTACCATAACTGTACTATTATCACTAGCATTATTATAATTGCCACTTTCATCACTATATTGTTAACAGTGTACATATTTCACTCATTGTTTTCTATTAAAGCAGTAAGTAAATAATAAAATAAATATGTGTGGAAAAAAAATAAGCAGCCACTAACAAAAAAAGGACAAAAAAACCAACCGGAAGTTACGTTTAGTAAAACAAAGGAATTACTTTACCATAACATACACCTTATCAGAATAATATAAATGCAAAGCCAAATGAAATATTTTACCATACGTATGTGCAGTTCGGAAGCGGGAGAGATATAAATACAAACAGAAATAGTTTGCCGCTTCAAATAATAATAACCATAGAAATAAGCATGAAGAAATGGTCGCAAAAATTAAAAAGAATGACGATGAAAATATATGAATGAATATGGTCGTTTATCGTTCAGACATCGATATGATATAGAAACCGAAAATTAGGAAACTTACATAACAACGAAATGAAACTGTAGATAAAAGTTCCTTCAAAAATTGTAAAAAAAAAAAAAAAAACGCAAAATACGCAAAGACGTCAATGTATCACCAAATATATCATGTTAAACAGAAATAGCCAATATGAAGTTTAAGATATACTATTTATATACTCAAAGTAATGTTACAGTACCATGAAGATTCAATTTCCTCGCTATTAATACGTCCCTTGAAATTCCCGAAAAGAAGGCACCATAACATAAACCACTAAAAGATGTTGAAATTGAATCTTCTTCTCAGAATAACATCATGAATCCACATGCATCCTCATATCCAAGGAATTGATGATAAGACATCAGTCAAAATGTAGTGATTAAACAGGTTAATCTTATCATCCTGATCTTAGCTGAATCAATAAGACTGAAATTTAATGCATAAAAAGGAGAAGAAAGAGCTGGAATTATTTTGGGTATTAGAACAATGAAAAAGTATCAGAACATTCAAATGAACTTTAATTTAGACATTAATGTCAACGAAAATTAGCCAATGATCAAAAAGGAATGTTAAAAATCCGTTAAAATGTATCATTTTGCTGATGAAAACCGTTCATCCCAGCTGTACAGTACTGTCCTGTCCAAAATAATAACCATAAGGTGAGTGGTAAAGTTGCACATTCTTTATTATAACAGTTTAGCTTGCCATTAAAGGGAATAGATTGACATAATGATTTATTCCAAAGATCAACTTAACATGGCTTATACTACTGAGATATCGCGGGACGATCACGATAAGTTGAACTTTTGCTTTCCTTCTCAAATAAGCCGTAAGTTGAAGAGGCAGAAATCCATTAAGTGAGAGTAATACTGGTAATTCAGGTAATGGTCAATATTTTGCCAATCCATGCAATTCCATCTTTTCCGCTTTTGCTAAGCTTGCATAAAGTTATCAAATAATCCATTTTTAAATATTTCAATTTTCGGTTAACATTTCGAAACTTGAAAACTGTTATTCCTCATTAGTCTTTTTTTTTTATTTCTAACAAAAACATAATATACGTACAGAAATGACGTGTACTTAACCAAAATAGTTATTTAGCATATAGTAAATGACATAGAAGAGACAAACATCCAAGTCTGCAATAAAAATATAAAATCTCAATTCATTAATTGTTCTGAACAAAAGTTTGGGTCATTTTCCATTTTCATAACTCAGTCATCGCATCGTTCATTTGATGAATATCACAGGAGTATATCTCAGGAATCGTTGATGAGATATTAGAAGTAAAGAGCGCCAACAAATGCCTCTGACAGTTGATTTCCCGCCCTAAGCCTCATCTTCTCCTCTCTCTCTCTCTCTTTCCCTTTCTCTCCCTCTCTCTCCCTCGAATGAGGTTCTCTGAGAGGTAGTTTGAGAATTTCCCTCTAAAAACTGTCCCTTATAGTTTCAATGATTTACATTTGAGCAATTTTTCAATTATTTCTTACCAGGTACTGGTTTTATATATGAATAAGGTTTATTTCTCTATAAATTAACTGAAAAATGAACTGAATTACTGGATAGGAGAGCGACTAATATAGGTATTTTTTAATTAGGACCATCTGACAATTGAAACCAGTTGCTGATAAGTTATCAGCATGACCACATTGTTGCGGTAAAGTCGGCGAACGCTGTGACAAAATAGAAACCATTAAAACTTTAACCAGCAATATGAATAAGAGGACATCTACGGTGACAATTTAATTGTAAATGGCAGTAGAACAAGTTTTATCGATTGATGTGGTGAGGAAAGGGAGTAAAAGAACAGTACTGTGATTTTCCAGTTTTCTTGAAACTCTCTTTTTGAAATAATTGGTGCAAAAAGTTGAATTTCGAGTTGGAAATTTTTATTTAAATTTAACAAATTGAATGAAAATTAAATGGTTTAAAATAGCTCAATAGGGCCAATCTAATATCCCACTAGACATATGTTATTGTTCCCAAGAAAGAAATCAAAGGAACCACTGGAATTTTACAATCTTTAAAAATTTATGGCTCTCACTTCGATCCTGACGACTTGTGCGACAATAACATTCAGATTGCATGAACTTTAAAGCATGAATGTTTCGTTAATCTATATTTACTTTCATTTGAGTAATCTCAACAACTACACCCATAAAACCAGTTGTCCAAAGACAAATTATTATACATCGAATCAACTTCAATCAATTTCACGACTCTCCACTAAACTATGCAATTTTCTTTCAGGCATTAAATGACGTCTATGTGACAAGGACAATTTTTCATCTTTTAAAATTATCAAACAAAAAGGAAACAAAAAACGGAATATTATTCGAAGTTCTTCTATTACTTCTTCCGGATTATACTTCCTTCTGCAACGTATCGATGATTTTAATTGATTTTGTTTGAAATATTTTTAGAAGAAAAAAATTTAACTTTCCTCATAAATGTCATACCATATAAAAATGAGAGAGATTGCAACAGAAAATGGAGACAGAAATGTTCGTGTCAACAGAACCGGTTTTGATATATTAGTAAGAGTAACATCATGGTGAATGAATAATTTTCTCGGAAATAATTGTAGATTGTAATTGTAGAAGGAATGACAATTCTAGACGTTTCCGTTTTTGATTTTGACAATTGAAAACAACACGAAATGGTGGATGAAAGATGCTTGAAAGTCTTCTTATCAAGCTACTCCTTAGAAATATGACATTTAGAAAGAAGCAAGAATCAGATATGCTGTGTTTCGATTTCGTGGGACAAACCATGAGATTCCATTTTTGTTTTTTTTTTTTGGTATGGTAAATGGTTTTAAGGGATGGAAAACTAAAATATTCTGAGTCATGTTAATTAAAACTACTTTTACCATACTGTCCATTATTTATGGAGACAAGAGCGCCCTCAATGGGACCTTATAGAAACTCTCTTCATTTAAAAGTTTGGAAGCTTGTTATACGTTGTTTCCTGTATGGTATTCATCATTAAAATTAAAAGTTCATTAAAATTATACCACAAGCGGAACATTTGGTGAATAAAGCTACAAATGTATGATAAGAGCATTGCATTGAACTATACCAAAATGTAAAACCAATCTAAAAAAAAAAAATTTTAGCTTTTGAAAGATGACATCTATTCAAGCCAAGTTTTAAACAGAAGCTATTGCTGATACCGTAATGTCGCGCTGATCAACATCGATCACCTAGTTTCGACTTTAGTTTATCATCTTGGTTTACTATTTTTTTGAAAGAAAAAAAAAAAGAGGCCATTTGAAAATACATCCAACTGGGGAATTCAGCAGAAAAGATTTTTTATTTCCGGCACAAATTGTTAAAGTGAAATTTTTGAAGAGCATAAAAACTAATGAAATTGTCTTTCAAAAATAAGAAACTGAAGAGGAGTTCAATCTCTTCAACCAATACCATCCAACAATTTTTTTTTCTTTTTTGTAAAGCAATGAAAAATAATTCAATCAAATTTTTTAGAAGGTTAATGACGTGGTAGACCAATCAGCAATTACAAGGAAACATTCATTACAATGTGTTGCCCATTAAACTCTAAAAAAAAAAAGCACTCAAAACTTTTTTGGCATATTTTTCAGACAATATAAATTTGAGCTAATCTTATAGTGGTGAAACTTGAACAAACACTTTAATTTTCTCGAGTAATGATAATTCTCGATGGTACCAGTGCGATAATAATTAATAACTACCGGTAGTACCAATGTGTTTTAGGAATTTTTCTATCAGATCCGTGTTATATGATTCATGAGAGAGTACGTCAGAAAAAGGAAACTGCGACAATAATATATGAGTAGTTGGTAAAGTGATTTGAATTTTCTCAAAATTTTTCATGTAGAAGTAATATCAACAACAGCAACAACAATAAAACCTTTTCATTTCTCGATCATTTATCTCTTTCCTCTCATTTACCTTTTGAAAAGGAAAATTATCAAATATATATGCATAGATCAATGTTATCTACAAAGATTGAAATTTAAATTGCTAATTTAAAATTTTAAAATTTAAATTGTTAATTCTTTCGAGAAAATGATTTATTCACAATTCCTTTTGTTATGTCACTTATTAAGAAATAATGCATAACAACCAGATCTTTTCAATTCATTTAAAAATTAACCAAAACTTCACCACAGGAAAGTTTGGAGGAATAAATTCGAAAGGTAAGTTAGCTTTATTTAATAAAAATGAAAATTCTTCTTAATGCCTTTCTAAAAAAGAAATTAAATATTCGTGTAAAAATTACTTTCTATTATATGAATAAATAAATTTAAAAAGAGAAAAATGCTGAAGATAGAATTAAAAAACCTTCTATATATCAAGAATGATTAAAGAATTTCATTTCGATCTCGTCAAATTGCCCATATCGGTGGTTCCGATATCGATAAAAAGATTTCATTGCGCACTTTTTAGGAAAAGAATGAAGGGGGGGGGGGAAAAAAAAAGGGTAGAAAGAAGTACCGACTAACTGTCTTTATGCCTTT